GCGTTCAGACTTTGCGATGTAACGCGCGACGACACGCTACATTTGTAACAGCTCTCCAATGATAGGTAAGCACAATCGCAGAAGGGAATCGATCGGCGCCGGCCGTCTGTCTATTGAGAAGGTGTGGGGCAAAAGGAGGGGATGTGTTGCCTAATCACGCACTCTGGTATTGACACGAACTCCATCCCCGACAGGCCCGAACGCGTTGAGAATTTGTCAAGTGCTTACACTTATTTTTGTAATTTTCTTGATTAAGTTTTTTTGCAATTTACACATATACATCGACCGATACGCTATCCGAACAAGCGCACAAGAGCCCATCCCCAGATGACTCCTCCTCATTACATACAGTCATGATCTCTGCAAACGATAGGGCGTGTAGGCGTGATCGCAGGGGCCGTCTTGTTCCGGCAATGATGCCGCTGTTAGCCCGCTACAGTTGGTGGAAAATCTGCCACAAGTCATGCCCCGTTTTCCGCCGTATCAATCTCAGGGATTATGACAGTATGTAAGTGCAACCTATGATTCAGCAGCGTTTTCTCAAAAGAATGTTCATTAACAGTCCGGCGACTCACCCGAATGCCTCGTGCCTCTGTTTTACTGCCCGGTGGCGGTCTACCATAATCGCTCGCGTTCTTGTCGAAATGTGGCACGTCGTACGTGTCCGAATAAGGATTCCTGGAAAACGGTCATTATCAAAAAAACGCCTCAAACCTTTTCTGTGAATAGTTTCTAATGAATATTCATTTGCAGGCAAAACTTCCACAGTATTGTTTGCTACAGATGCGGGACGGGCTTGCCTGGGAGGCTGAGTATGAACGGCGCTAGTTCGTGCTTCCCCAACTGTCGCAGCGACAATGATCGCTGTAAAGGGTGCTGGCACCACGCCAAGCCTAGCCCCTCACCCGCTCCATCAAGACTATGTGCACCCCTTCGCGCAGAGAAGGCCTGTGGCACCCTGAATCTGCAGTTGTGAATATAAATTTTTCATATGATTTTATTATAGTTCTTGATAGCTAAATCCTTTAGTACATTTATCTAAGTTTAGGAGGGGGGGGGTGACTCAAAGAAGTAGCTTAGTTTCCGTTTCGCACGTGCCCTTAGACGGAAACCAAGCAGTTTGTAATATCCTCCTTCTGTGCTCATCAGTAAGGGAAAGGAGGAATAAGGTGTTTTACATTGATAATTTAATTATTAATTGAAATTAGCCAAAGTTAAGTGAATGTTATTCTAAGTTTAGTTCACTTTAATTAATATCTGTGACTAAGTTTTTATCAAATAGTTAAAATTAGGTTTGTTCATACAAGTTTTAGAAGTTCATCTTTCATAATGTAGGGTGTTTCCTACAAATGCATACACGATACTTAAAGATATAACAATAACTATTTAATTCGAATGAAAGCTATCGATGATGCAGAAGTCTTAAGTTGCCCATGTTGAGCTTTGTCGTTTATTGTGGCATGCTGGTGCACATAAACGAGCAAGGGCTACTTTTAGTAAAAACAACAGCTGTAAACGCTCTGTACTACGAATTCTTCTTATGGGCAGACGTAATAGCATTTGGCCTGGTGCTCTGCCTAGTGTGGCATGACGCAGGTAGGTATTCGATGTATAAGTCAGCTTTTTTTTCACTTTTTTGAAGAGAAGGATACCAGTTGTCCTCTCTCTGCAATCACCGAGGTGTCAGCTGGTCAAAAGATGCGGCTTCCCAGTGATCGAACAAGTTTTGCACTGAGTTTTGCATACCAGCATCAAACCATTAACTTGCCGGCAATCTGGCATCTGCTGAGTTTAGCATTGGTCATTCCCAGTGTTAAATGCTTACCCTATTTCCTGCATGCTTCTGATCAGATGCCACGCCAACCTTTCACCTAACTGATCCGTTCCTGAGCCGACGAATTGGGGAAAACGGCGAAACCATAGGCAGCGCTAAACTAGAACCCTTCAGCACATCCTCCTGTTCGCAGGGACAATGATGTACCGCAGAGGTTTGCGCAATCTCCAGAGACCTCTTAAAGACCACTTGATTGTTCTTGCAGTTTGAAAAGCTGCATTCATCAGGCCATTGCATGGCATCAACAGATGTCAAGGAAGTTTTCTGAAGCGAGCGTTAGCTTGTAACAGCGGCACCATTGCTGAATGACAGGCTGCGCGTCATTGGTGGAAGGTTTGCGAGCGGCGCGTTTGGCCACCACGCCCAATCAGCCTTCTACAAATGACGTTGCGACAACCGCCGCGCCCGCACCCATGCTCGAAAAGGGGTGCACTCGTAGAAAATAGAAGCACAAAGTCTGTGGTTCTAGGGGCAAGTCTATAAGGAAATAACATGACAGCCTATTTATACCACTGAGGAGATAACATAGTGGATGTTCTAGCAGCTTGTTATACTTCAAGACTGCACTACTACTCATAAATAAAGCACGATTCTGCCACGTTCATCTCAGAGCAAAGGCATACCATCTTAAGCGAATTTTGAGAGTGGTATTAATCCGCTGTGGGGGGTTCACAAGCGCAGGGTCAGAGTGCTCGACTGAACTTGCATGACAATCGGGACCCCCGGCCTCTGTGCAACCCCTGGCTCACAAACCGTTTCTTCGCATCCTCCAGTACTGAATGGCTCCCAGTACTGGTAAAAAAACGAACAACAAAAACACCGAAACAATGTTCGTGACAAAAAAAATAGCTTCGAAAAATTCTGTGTGCGAAATTAGGATGATGGTGAGCAGTGTACGACGGACTTTTGCACCCCTGCAGTTGCTGGTGATTCAAGCGACGTTAATAAAACGCATCTTGCGAAGTGATTTGCTGTTGCTTCCTCATTTCCGAAAAAAGGTATTCAGGGAGAACAGAACGACAAGCGGCCTTGCAAAAGCCCACACGCTACCATTCTCGAGCGCATGACATCTTCCTATGACGCTGCAGGTAACACGCGCGGTAATTAGTGGTGTAAGTTGTTATCTTGTAGCCTGAAAACGTCAAAGTAGCAAAAGATCACGCGTCTTCATCTGGCGCATCCGTGCAACGAATGTTATACAGTTTCTGCGAGCGCGGACCTGGCTACCGAAGCAGTGAGGCATTTCACGGATCACTTGATCGCGGGGGTTGTCCTAAAATAGGACTTTATTAATCGAAATAACAACCATCACTACCGTCGCACTTCTGCCAGCGAGAAACAAGTTTGTTTGCCCCGCTTGCACAGAACTCTGGAGGTCTACTGGCAATGAAATCGGTGAATCACGCTGCAGCATCCCAAACAACTGTCAAGGTGTCTGAAGAAGTAATCTGTGGTGGCTGGGTCTGATGAGTGTGGTGAATGTGAAAGTGTGAATCGATCTTCCTCCCCAGTCGCAATATGCACCCTGTATCCCGGAGATAGGGAGGGCCCGGCTTCGCATTGAAACTACTCTTCCCAATAGTAAATCTAGCAGTTTTCGGTGGGAAGCTCCTCCACCTCCCCACTCAACGCAAATGTTTGAGGAAAACTGGAAAATTTCCGGAGAGTTCCGGCAAGAAATGATGTGAAGTTGAGGAAACCTAAGAAGATGTTGGGCAACATCAGGGAATGGGGAGGCCGTACCAGAAAAGGAAAAGGTCGAATTTTGTAAAAATTTGTCCTAGCGTCAGGAAGCTATTCAACATTTTCAACAATAAAACTCGTCAGAGAAAAAAAAACATAAGAATCTCTATAAAGGTCAAGGCCGGGAGAGGGCGGAGCATGGCGTGAGTACTAAAACATTGCATATTACATGGGGCGTTACAGCTGTGAAAAGGCCACTGAAAAAGCGTGCCGGTGAATAAAGTTATAGAGCGGCAAACATTCTAATAAACCCTAAATAATGGGAGGATTCGTCGGGGGCGGACTCAAGTGTGCTCCTAAATAAAAGTGTATTTAAGGGCGTACATGTGTGAAAAATGAAAGTGTGAAAACTAGTTCCAGTGCGGCATATGGTGTGTAATTTAATCGTTGTGCGGCAAAAGGGGCGTGGTTATCTGGGGGCGGGGCATGTGGGGTCTACGATATGTGCGGTATGCATGCAGTGGGTGTTTCATACAAGACTGCAAAAAAACCGCGTGGCGGAAGAAAAAAGTGCTGACTTTATCTGCTTCGAAACGGCAATACACCGAAACCGAAAACGCAGTGGCCGGCACGCTCGAAAAGGAGAAAACAGCCGCGCCCGCCTTCCCCATCTCCTGGATATGGAGTCTAATTTCCGACAACACCTTTCCGTGGTTATTCCGGGCTCTTCATCGAGCACGGCGTGAGCACTACAGCTGTAAGTAATTATGCGTCCTGTCGCCTTTCACGTGGCTGGATGGCTGAAAGACGGAGCCCTTTCACACCAACCCTGATAGATTCCTCCATGAGTTGGGATGGAATCTGGGTCTTGCCGCAGCGGCAGGCTATCTTGCTCCCATTTCTTGCACGAACACCGAGTTATCAGCGCTGAGCCCTCGTCCATCAGGCAAAAACACTTATCCACTTCGCGCTGTGTATTGATGTTTAGACACAGCTGCCATCCATCTTTTTGAAACAAATCACTCAGACAATCGCTTGAGCTCTGATTCATCAGTTGTATGTAGTACGAAAACATTTCAAAGGTTCAAGCAGCAAAACAGACAGCATTCAATCAATTGCTCAGTGGTCATT